GCTATCTAAGGTAATGGGTACAAAAGAATTTTAGAATTGTCTTTCTATTTCTGTAAAAAAAATGTCATTTGGATAGTGATAGGAATTATTGAATCTGTATATTGCTTTTTTTTTTATTATTGATATTTTAGCAGTATTCTTCCAATCCATGAAAATGGGATAACTTTCTAGTTCGTCAGTATCTTTCATTGATATTTTAAGTGTCTGGTGTGCGGATCTTTTATCCCTTTGCTGAAATTTATTACTAAATATTTTATTCTTTTTTATGTTGTCATATATGGGATTGTTTCCTTGAATTTATTTTCTAGTGTAGCTAATCTAGGAAAGTAAAACAGAACCATAAATAAACAAGATAAATAAACAAGATGAATATACAGGCATAGATGGTGGAGAAGAGATTGTGGAGTACTTTAATATACTTTATTGGGTAAAAAAATATTAAAACTCCTGCTAGCCCAAATGTTGCTGTGAAGAAATCAGTTGATTCTGCATACTGAATCTCTAAATTCATTATTAGTTTGAACATTTTTGTTATGGATTTTTAGAAAATAAAATTATATGATTTTGCAAGCATAAGTAATTTTATGTCTTTCTCTCCAAGTTTGCTATCTTTTATTTCCTTTGTTTATCTGATTTCTCTTACTAATACTACCAGTACTACGTTGAATAGCACTGGCAACAGTGGGTACCTTTGCCTTGTACTGGATTAATATTAGAAGGAAAAGTTTTCAGTGCTTCCTATTGACTATGATGTTAGTTGTGTGTTGTTCATAAGCAGACTTTATTTATTTATTGTGTTGAGAAAGTGTCCTTTTATGCCTACTTTGATTTGCATATGTAAAAATAGTGTTGCATCCCAAGGATAAATTTTACTTTGTCACTTGATTATGTTATATAACCTTTTCATTATGTTCTTCAAGTCAGCTTGTTAGTGTGTTGTTGAGTAATTTCTTTTTTTAGTCTGTGTTCATCAGAAATATTGGCTTATAGTTTCCTTGTGGTATCTTTGTCTAGTTTCGGTATCAGAGATCATAGACTGTGAAGTAAAATTCATCTGGTCTTGGATTTTCCTTTGTTGGAAAAATAATCAATCAATATAAAATTATATATTTCCACTTCTACTTCCTTATTCGATGTGGGTCATTCTACCTATTTCTTCTTGATTAAGTTTGGATAGATTGTATATTTTTAAGAATTTATCCATTTCTTCTCATTTACCCAATTTGTCAGAACATAATTTTTGATAGTTGTCTCTTATGAGACTTTGTATTCCTGTGGTATTATTTATGTCTTCCTCTTCATTTCCAATTTCATTTACTTAAATCCTCTTTTGTTTCTTGATGAGTCTAGATAAAGGTTTATCTGTTTTAACTTCTTTTTGAAGTTTGTAGTTTCACTTCTTTCTGTTTTCTTAGTTCTCTATCTCATTTATTTCTGCTCTGACCTTTTTTATTCCCTTCCTTGTACTACCTCTGAGCTTAGTTTTTCTATTTTTCTACACCAGGAGGTATAAGATTAGGCTGTTCACTTGAGAAAGACCTCTTGAGAAAGAAAGACTTGCCCAGAACTGCTTTTGCTCTATTCCATACATTTAATATACTCTATTTCATTTTTACTTTTTGCTTTTTTCTCTAATCCATTGGTTCTGGAGTAGCAAATATCATAGGTTTGTGACATTTCCAGTTTTCTTATTGCAGTAGATTCCTATTTTTTATACCACTGTGGTTGGATAAGATGGATTGTTATAATCTTAAATTTTTTGAAACTTGTTTTGTAGCTTAACATATGATCTGCCCTAGAAAGTGTTCCTCCCATGCTTGGAAAAAGTGTGAATTCTCTGCTTTTAGGTGGAATTTTCTATATATGTCTATTAAGTCTATTTAGTCAATCATAGATTTTAAACCAGCATTTCTTCATTCATTATCTTCATTCTCTATCTGGATGAGCTACCCATTGATGAAAATGAAATGTTAAAATCCTCTACTATAATATTATTGCTTCCCTTTTCTCCCTTTATGAGTGTTAATTTTTGCTTTATATATCTAGGTGTTCCTACTTTGAGAGTGTACATATTGAAAAATATTACATCTTCTTGCTATATTGACCTTTTATCAATATATAATTACCATTTTAATCTATTACTATATAGTCTTTGCTTTGAAGTCTATTTTGTGTGCTGTAAGTATAGCTCCCCAGAATTCTTTGGCTTCCATTTGCATGGAGTTTCAGTATCTGTGTATCCCTAATGTTGAATTAGTTTCTTCTAAGCAACATATAGGTATGTCTTATTTTGTTAGTTCAGTCATTTTATGTCTTTTGATTGGAGAAGTTGCTTTTTTAAGATTTCTTTACTTATGCATACAGAACTGGGGTACAGGCCAGAGGGGCAGGGACAGTGAAAGGATTCACCAGAGATAGAGTGGGAAGCAGAACAGGCCAACTGCTGAGGGGCATAGCGGGTGAGTCAGGAGAGGTCTGCCACATCATGTGGATCACCTCTGGGGCGGGGATCAAACTCATGCTGAAGTGGCTTTAGTTTCTTAGTACTGTGCTTTAACCCACTGCACCACCAGGGAGGGACCTTTGTCCACTTGCTTTTTAAAGAAATTATTACTAATAATTACTAATAAGGGAAAATTTATTAATAATGATAAAGTAATTATTGACAGGCTTCTACTTATTGCCATTTTGTTCAATGCTCATAATCCATATTTTGTAACTCCTTTGTGACTTTCTTCTTACCTTCTTCCTTCCTGATGATTTTCTTTTGTCTTTTGGCTTTCATATGAGATTTATAGGTCATTATTAACCATTATCTTTATAACAATAGATAATTCTGGGTTTTACTATATGGTTGTAGTTACTGGTGAGATTTATACTGTTAGGTGTTTTTCTATTACTTTTTAGTGTTCTTTCTTTTCACTTAAAGAAATCTCTCTAACAGTTCTTGTAAGGTCAGTCTAAATGGTGATGAACTCTTTCAACTTCTCTTTGCCTGGAAAACTACCTCTCCTTCAATTGGAAAGAAAACTTTACTGAGTAGAGTATTCCTGGATATTGAGCTGTTTGTTTTCTTAGCACTTTGAGTATTCATTTCCTCTGCTTGTGACAAACTATAACAGGACACCCAGGTGAGGAAAGATTTCATAATTGTTCCTTGTTAATGGAATGAATATGCATGAGGGTACATAAGAAATGTTCCCATATCTTCAAGAGAAGAACCACATGATTTAATTAACCATATCAATCAACCTAAAAGCATAAATCAGTTATTAAGTTTCTTAAAATATAGCCTCTGACGTTTAAAGTTTCTCTTGAAAACTCTGCTGATAGCCCTATGAGGTTTCCTTCTGTATAGAAAGCTATTTTCTCTTGCTGATCTTTCAATTCTCTCCTTATCTTTAACCTGTGATAATTTTATTATAATGTGTCTTGATGTGGGTCTCTTTGGGACCATCTTATTTAGAACTCTCAGGGTTTCTTGGAACTGTATATCTGTTTCCTTCCTTGTGCTAGAAAACAATCAGCTATTAAGGGACATAAAGTAGTATTATTAACATCACTTTTGCATTTAAGTATGTTGCAAAATTGAAAGTTTTATTTTTAATTATTTTTTCCAAAGACAGTTGTTGTTGTCATTTCTTATTCACTTCCTTTTTCACTAAAGGTAGCATACTATATGAATGAAATATAATGTATTATAATGTATATACTATTCTGTACCTTTCTTTCATCACTTACAGATATGTAGCATTCTTCACTTAAGTGTGGAAACCTTTAATTCTTTTTAGAGTTGCATAATATTTCATCAGATGAGGGTGCTTTAATTTATTCAATACTGATTTCCATACATAACTGGTTTATAATATTTAAATTTTAAAAATTTTCCATGCTCAATAAAAATGTATGTATGTTCTTTCACATGTAGAAAATTGTATAGGATATATTCTTGGGCAAGGGATTCCTGTGTCAAATGGAAATGTGTCTCTTTTTTGGTATTTATTGCCATATTGTCCTCCAAAAACATTTCTATGGTTATGAGCAAATAAAAAAAAATAAATTGTATGGTTTATTACCTGCCTTGTCTGCTCTAACTCCAATAAGTCTAACCTTGGTTCCACTTAAAACTTTAAAATTCAGGTTCTTGCCAATCAATTTTAATCACTGCCAAAAAATAAATGCCTTTTACCTCTAGTTTTTCAGGCTAATATCTAAATCAGTTAATATCTAATGTCAAAAATCAATCCAATTGACCTCCCTCTATTCTTCAGAAGTTTGTAATTAACCCTACAACCTGTATATCTGCTTAATCTACCTGGTAACTGATACTAGTAATCAGTGCCCAGCTCTACTATAAACCTTTCAGGTCATCTTTCCTCTCTGCTCTGCTAAAATAACCTTAATAAAAATAACCTAAAGCTTGTGCTCTTAGGTTGATTTAATCATGCTCTTCTTTTCTTTAAGACGTGGAAAGGTTTTCTGGATACCCTGATGCATATGCATGCCATAAACCGGGAAAAAATACCTGATCTTTCTTTATCTGGGCGTCTTGTTACCCAGAAATGGAAAGGTTAACTCCAACAAGCATTTAACTTATCCAAATCTATTGCATTTAACTAGAGGATCATGGAAAGAAGCCGAAGACCTAAGTCTATGTCCTCTCCCTTTATGATTAAGAAGTGATGGCTTACAGCAAGTCAGAATTTCTTATACTTCAGTTTTCTCATCTATAATCTGAAGGAAATAATATGTAGCTCTAAGGATAATGAGGATAATATGAGATAATATAAGTGAATGGATTTTGTAAAATCTAAATTCCTAATGACTAAAAATAAGATAGAATATTCATTTCCTTTAACTCTGACAAACTGTATCTTAACCTTCTCTCAGCCATCTGTGCCTACCTCCAAGATTAGGGTATATTTCCAGGAAAAAGAATGGAGTGACATACTTTTTTGTGGAAGAAAAATAAGAATTTAAGAAATTTTTTTCTCTTTTAGCCATAAACTGCAATGTAATGAAAATTTTGAAAAACCCAAGAACATATGCAATGTCTACATCCAGAGAAGAATCAGGAGTACCAAAACTGACAGCAAAGGTTTGGAGTACAGTAATTATGAAAGCTCATTCTTACTTCCTTAATTTGTAATAAAATTTAGTTCAACAGCTTCATATAGGAGATGTCGGTTAATACAGTCTTGATATATAGATTAGAAAAAAATTAATGATCAGAAGATTTATTAAACATGTTAATCTTAGTATTAAAATATTTCTTTTTTTCTGAAGATATCCTTATTTCTAATGAGAAAAAAAAGAGCATTTATCTTTTCCTCACACTTGTGGCACTGCTTGTCCCTTGGTTGACATACATACATCACTACTGTTTCAGTTAGCATCAGTCAGGGTACAGGGAAAAGTTCAAGGAAGTATAGCAATGTTGAATCTGTCCCTGTCTCTTAAGCCATGAAATAACTGACCATATGTAAACACCTGAGTCTTGAATACTTAGTTTCACTATGTTCCTGAAGTATCTGTCAAATAGCAGTTCCATAGACTTACCATTAAAGAGGTGATGATGAAGTTATTGACTTGAACTTCTGAATTTTATCTCTTAACTTGTTAATTAGGCTTTATATCTGTTTAGTCTTAATTGACAAAATATTATATGAATTACCTACTCAGTTCTAACTATTATTGTAAATTTTAAATTATGCCTGTATAAATACTACTTTCTGAAATCAGTACTCACATATTTCCTAGTTTTTAATAATACAGGTGTATACATCTCTTCTAACTTTACTATTCTACAAAGAATGGTTTGTAAGTATTTCCAAGAGAAATTGATGTTCTCTAGGAGTCAATTTGGGATAGGTGACAATATTACGTCATTGTGGGGGGTGGGGTATTAAGCTTGCTAGTTGTAGTAATCACGGAAATGTAATAAAAGTTGTATAGCTGATCCTCAGCAAGCACTAAAATATGGTATCTTATAGTTTTTCAACAAGCTTAAGAAATATAGGTGGCTGGATTTGTAAATAAACTTTGTCAGATGCTACTTTTAAAGAGAAATTGCAGTATGTACTTTGTGTTACAGCATTCTCCTTTATCTTTGCTCTTTCTATTAGATATATTGAAATCAAAAGCATGGAAGAATTATGATCATATTAGATAACTAAAAGTTCACAACAGACTAGAGTAACTGGATTGATATTAGAAAAACTATAGCTTTTATACTGTTAGAACTATATAAGTACAGGATAAGAAAGCCTCAACTTAAGGGCAGAAAAGATTTGGGAATCATTTTAATAGTTAAGTTTTCTGTGTGTCAGTAGAATGCTGTTGACCTCAAAATCTGTATTCTTGGTATATGTAAATAAGCATCTCTAATCTACTCTATGAAAATTAGACAATTATTGTGTAGTATGCTAATTTTGAAACTCTGCATTGTAAAAGAGTGTAGGCAAACAGAATTGTTCTAAACACAAGTAAAATCACAATGACTAAGTCCTCTAAAGCAAACTGTTTGAACAATCAGCAAAATATTTAAAAGTATTTCCACTAGAAGATTTTGGAGACTTTAACTGTTTTAAATATGTAGAAAGAAAGCTATTGGAGGACAGTAGTGTTAGATTTTCCATTTGATTTAAAAAGTTTTTTTTTAGCTTTACAAACTAAAAAGCTTTTACTTTTCCAGTAGGTGAAAGCTATAGAGAGATAGATTTCAGGTCAACATCAATTTTCTTTTCAGCAACAGGATTGTCAAATGTTGAAAAGGTGCCATATAACAATGGCAGAACATTTCATGCCGCAAAAACTTAGCTTTTTAGTCATTGTCAGCTCTTTTTTATCAATAAATTAATAGAAAAAACAGGACACCAAAACTATCTCTTAGACTTTCTTGTTCATTCCTTATGACTTTACTCTCCATAAATGTGTAATTTTCTCTTTCTTCTTTTGCATTATTTCTAGTTTCATACCATTGTGGTCTGAAAAAAAAATTGACATAGTATCAATCCTCATACATTTATTGAAGTTTATTTTATAAGCCAAGATATGGTCTACCCTTGAAAATGGTCTGTGAGCACCTGAAAAGAATATGTATTGTGGTTTTTGGAGGTGGAAATAATAAGCCCAGCTTTTCCGATTTGTCATTTAAGGTCATTCTTTCCTTGGGGATTCTTCTTTTTGGATTATTTGTCCATTGCTGTATGTATAGTGTTAAAGTCCCCTGTTACTATTGATCACGTCAATTTCTCTCATTTAAACCTGTTAATATTTGTTTATATATTTGTATGTTGTTATGATAAGTGTATAATAGATCATTGTTATGATCCCCTTGTCATTATACATTATATGATAGCCATCTTTTTTTCTTACTTTTTTTTTCTTTCTTTTTTTGCTGAAATTTTAACTTACCTAAGTACACTGCTTCCTGACTTTTTTTAATTGCTCATTTACTTGGCGTGCAAGTTTCTGTCTCTTCACATTGAGTCTATCTTTGTCTTTAAAATTTAAGTGAAATTCTTGTGAGCAGTAGCTAGTTTGCTTTTGCTTTGTGACTTTTAATTGGTGAGTTTTGTCCATTTACATTAAGGGTAATATTTTTATATATGAGGATTTGTTACTGCCATTTTGTCTCTAGCTTCCTGGGTTTTGCTATGCAGTTATTTCCTTGTTTAACTTTTTGTGGCCTTTCCTTTTTTTTTCCAGCTTATATAGGAAAGTTCCTTTCCAGGTGTTGGCAAATTCCTCCAGCTTTTGTATTCTTGCAAAGACCCTTTTCATTTTTATCTGAAAATATCTTACAGAATATACTATTCTTGCCTAGCAGTTTTTGTCTTTGAATAAAATATATCATTCCAGCCTCTCCTGGGATGAAACTCATGTGGAGTTACTGCTGAAAGTATAACAAAAGCCTCTTTTGAATACCTTTATGTTACTTGTTTTTCCCCTCAATCATCTTCAGTATTTTATCTTTGTCTTGAATGCTTAATAGTTTCACTATTGTGTATTATTTGGGCTTCGCTAACTAGGTGTTCTGTTAATTTCATGTACTTGTATATTCAGTTCTAGTTTAGGCAATTTTTCCACTATTATTTCTTTGAGTGAGCTCTCTGCTCCTTTCTCTCTCTTCCCCTCTGGAAAATTTATTATCTTACAATTCTTAGAGTTGGGTAGTCCTTGCATTGTTTCTTTACTTAAAAAAATATCTCTCTCTTCTTATACCTGAATCTCATATGTCAAATTATTCTAACTAAATCACTTGGAAATTACTGTGTAGAGGTCACTGATTCATTCTTCCATTTTTGATCTGCTTATTCCATAGATTATTCTAATCCTCTTGACTCATTTATTGAGTTCTTCATATTCCTAACTCTTATTTTCTTACTTAAAACTTCAGTTTGTATCTTCTGTTAACTTTATTTCTGAGCTTATAAATGTACTTTTCTGAGTCTCTTTGTATGTCTTTGATTAGTTTTTCTGAGTTTCTTGTGTCACCTTCACTTCTCTTTCTAAGTATTCTTCTACTCTTTGAGTTTCTTTATTATAGTAGTTTTGAACACTTGTATTCAATATAGCATGATATGAATTGTTAAGATGAAGGAAATATTTTTTCATTAAACTTTTTTCTTCTCTTACATCATTGTTCATTTCTGTACAATATTTGATTTCTCCCTCAGGTGTAGTTTCCATAACTTTCCAACAGCCACAGCACCCATGAACTGTCACAAAAGTCCTTTGTGCTCTTCCGTCCTCTGTTTTGATGCCTCTCCTTCTCCTTCCCTCACTGTACACCTTAAACAATAGAGTTGCCTGCATGTTTGTGTTTGGTTTTGTTTGTTTGTTTATTTGTTTTTTACTCCTCATTAGGTTTCCCTATATTACTGCTATAAGTAAAATCATCAAATATTTTTCTTTTCCTAATGTGAGGGAAATTATTGACATTGTTTTTCAAATCAAAGAATTGATTCTTATTATAGTAATTCAATGATCTGAAATGATCCCTGAGCAACCATGAATGAGTGCAATAAAAAGTGAGCACAAGAAAACTCGATATCCATAGATCAAATAAAAATTCAATCTAATTTCTTCATAATAGGTAGAATAAATAATCTTCAATCTAAGCATTAAAAAAACTTGAGAAAAGACTTATTATATGAGTAATTGCAATACTGGATTTTGTATCCCCCAAGAAGTTAATAGTAAAATCTTTGAGCAATTACATCTGTGGTTGTGGTTTCCTTGATACAGAATTTGTGGTTGACAGTTTTTCTATCAGAATTTTGATTAAGTCATATAATTGCCTTCTGTCCTCCTTTGTTCTCATGAGAACTCGGCTACTAATTTTATGTGTTATTTTCTCTTTCTACTTATATTTTTCTTTTTGTCTTAGTCTGTTAACACTTGAGTATGAGTTGTTTAGGTGTGAATTTATCCTACTTGGAATGAAACTTCTTCTATGTGTTTTCCATGAAATTAGGAAAGTTTTGGTCATCATTTCTTTATATATTTTCCCTTCCCTTTTTTTCTGGGGTTCTGTTCACTTTTGTAATTCTTTTTTCTTTCTATTATTTAGACAGACTAGTCTTTATTGACCTACCTTCAAGATTGTCAAAAGGAGAGGAAAGAATAAGTTGGAAGCTTCTTTCTTACTGCACATACTCATAGACTCCTATTTTAGTAAATTCCTTTTAAAAGATGATGAAATCCCTTTTACTTAACATACCAGATAGTAATTTTATTTATAGATATAATGCAGTTATATTTTACTTAAAATTCTTTAAAAATACACAAAAGTAATGACTGACTTGATTTTATCCCCCTTACAGTCCCATTATTGTGGCATTGGTCCAGAATTTAACCACGTGCTGTTCAGTTTTGGAGGTCTGAGTCCACTGATTTTATATTATCTGACCATACATGAGGTACCTGGTGTTTCTAAAATCCCTAGACAAACTAAGATTAAATTCACTGGAATATATAAAGAACCATATCCTTTCTTAAGCTTTACTTAAACCTGACCTGTTTCAGAAATATTCAGGACTTTCTGCCAATGTCTCAATTTAGGATAAAAAAAATGCAATGTATTTTTTTTTTAAAAAAGTTTATTTTTACATCATTTTTCACATTTTTTTTTCATCTCAATTGTAATCCCCACGGGTTTCCCATCACCAAATCACCCCTGTGCCACCACCATAGTCCCGTGCAAAAAATGCAATGTATTTTTAACCAACACTTTTATTTAGCATTTAATTGTGTTTAAAACTTCTGTAGTATGTTTGTCTAAGCTATTTTTTTAGATCTAAGGCTATAATTTCACATGTAAGAAAAGTAAAACAAACAAAACTTGGGGAAATTTTGTGTTTAATAAATGATTTTTTATTGAGATGACCTAACACTGCTATGATTTAGGGGTTTAGGTTCATACCCCTTGAGATATATATTGCATCATCATATCTACCACCAAAGCATTCATGATCTTCTGCTATAGCTGTATCACTCTTAGCAATTTAAAGAAAAGATTGTCTTTGCAAATTTACTCTTCAGTATTCAGTTTCAAAAATCTATCAGAACTTTGGGTCATGGACTTCTAGGCTTCACTTAGAGAACTTCACACATGCTTTAACTATGTACTCCTTTGTTCTAAAATTGGAGCTCTTTGGTTACAGTAGGTGGCCAGGACATAGTGTCTCTCCACTTACATTTCTGTGTTCCTTCTGTATAACCCATCCTGACCCTGACCTGACTAGGATGAATACCCACAAGATACATAGTACAGTTGTCTGCAAAGGCATCTGTGTTCTTACGTTGTTTTCTGAATATCACAAAATATTGCTGTTTTCCTTGAATAGTTAAGCAGACTTATAGATTATATAATCTAATTTTTATTGAACTGACACATAATAATGAACCAATGGCTATAAAAGTCTCCTGAAATGCAACTTTGGATTGATGATAAAATTTACACTTCAAGGAGAATTTTTTTTAATATTTCATTTATTTATGCATACAGAATTAGGGTATAGGCCAGAGGTACAGGGGCAGTGAGAAAATTCACCACAGACAGTAGGGAATAGAACAGACAGAGTAATGAAGTACACTGCTGAGGGGAGCAGTGGGCAGGTCAGGAGAGGTCTGCTGTGCCATGTGGGTTACCTCCCTGGCTTGGGATCAAACTCTTGTTGAGGTGGCTGCGGCTAGCTAGCTTCCTAGTGCTATGCTTTAACCCATTGCACCACCAGGGAGGGCCCTCAAGAAGAATATTTAAAAGAAAGAATTTCATTTATCTTACTCCTTAAGGGAGCTCCTTTTCAGCTATAGTAAAAGATGCAATTATTAAGGTTGATCCTACCAGCTCTGCCAAGAGGTAGGACAAAAGAATTAAAACAAAAATTTAAAAAACTATTTAAAATATGGCTTTACATCATTATTATAAATAAGTCTATCTCTAAGTGTACATAATACTGTTCAATATTGGCAAGTGATAATATGATTCCAGCTTAGTTTGGAAGGTATTTATAAACCTGGACATCAATACAAATAGCTACAATTTATAGACAAAAAGTTCAATAAATGCATTTTTTTTTAAGATTTATTTATTTGTGCATACAGAACTGGGGTACAGGCCAGAGACTCAAGGGCGGTGAGAGGCTTCACAGAGACAGAGTGGGGAACAGAACAGGCAGATCGACAAAGTACTCTGCTGAGGGGAGCAGCGGTCGGGTCAGGAGAGGTCTGCCTGCCATGTGGCCACCTCCGGGGCAGGTGGGAATCGAACTCATGTGGAAGCGGCTTTAGATTCTCAGTGCTGTGCTTTAACCCGCTGCGCCACCAGGGAGGGCCGCAATTTTATTTTTAAAATAATGTATCTCAGTTTTGTTTTCTATTTGTTGACTACATATCTTTTATTATATTTATTTTGATATATTAATACAAGTTCATGTGCACATAATTTATAATTTGTATTATACCAGTATGCTCACATAACTTTTACTCATGGGGTACATAAAAATATAAGTACCACAAGCATCAGGAGAAAAACAAAATATAGGACTAAAACAGTCTGTTCTAAGGCGTGTTATGTAAGCAATGTTGCAAAGATTCTTCTCAATCTAGGTTATGTCCAAAACAAAATTTTTAGATGTTTAGAGATTAAATTTGAAAGGTATCTAAACCCTTTCATAATTGAATGCTTATATTTTAAATTTGTATTGTTACTATGAAATTGTTACTTTTTGCATGTGTTTACATTTGTGATATGGCATGGACTTCTCCAAATGCTATGCAGGTATTCATACCACGAGTTTACTGAGAATGTCCGAAGATTATGAATGTATATAGGGAAAGGAGGAATTGTTGATCTGAAGCATGATATCTTTTCTTTTTTTAATATATTCATTATGTCATCCTTCATTTTTTGTACAGTGTATGATTTCCCTGTGAAATTCCCAACACCAATTCACCAGTGCACCATCACCGTAGTCCCTTCTTATTCCATAAATTTCAAGAGAAATCACCCTTTGGAAAGCAAAAGAGTTTTCTTTGATGCTTTCTGAACAAAATTATTGTGGTATGTCACATTCATCAATACCTGGCATGTTTTCGAAGATATGCATTGAATCCCTCTGTGTATCATTGTGGGAAATGACAAGTCTTGCGACCATGGCAGAGTAGATGCCCAGCACAGCCTCTTTCCAGAGGTAACCATAATACACAAAGATAGTAAGTGGCTTTTTCATAAGACTCATGCAGCAGAGCTTGCATTAAAGTTTTTGTTTACCTGAACATGACAATCCAGGCTAGAATGCACTCTGTGTATGAACTAGTGGTTGGGGAACAGAGCCCAGTAATATTTTCTCTCATATATGGCTGATACTAATTATCTACGATGACTGTATGATCATTGAGTGTATTTCACCTTACTCAAATTTTACTTTCAAGATATTCAGCATATAAACTTTCTTCTTACTTTTCTCTAGATTTTTTTTTTTTTGGAGTTTATGACTTTTAGAGAGATCACATTGCTGCCAGTAAGAGAAAGTAGAAAAGAGAGAGAAATAGATAAACAACAACAAAAACATAACTAATCACAGGTGACTCTAACTTCATTCCCAGTATTCTTCACCTTCTGATATTCTACTCTTGTATAATCCTATTCCTGGGTATAGGTTAGAACAGTGACTTGCTTCTAACAAGTAGGCTGTGACAAATATAATGGAATGTCAGTTCTGAAAAGAGAAAGTTGTCAGTTCTTTCCCACCTTTTTCAATCATTTTCTTGGAGTTCTCAGAAACCAGCTGCCATGTTGTGAACTGGCTTTTGGCAAAGCCCATGTAATAGAGAAAGAGGAAAAGCCTCCATTTTATATCTAGAAATAAAGTGAATCCCTTAATCCTGTAGCCCATGAGAACTGAATCTTGCTAACAATCATGTAAGTGAGCTTAGAAGCAGATCTTCCTTCAGCTGCCCCTTGAAACAACTGCAGCTTCTACCCACACCTTATTGCAATCTGAGGGACCCTGAATTAGAAGTGTTGACCTGAACTTTTCAGACTCTGAAATCACATGAGCAATGCAATAATAATGTTGTTTAAAGCTGGCAAGTTTGGGAGTAATTTATTGTATATCAGTATAATGTTTGAGTAAAAGTCTGATTTAGAGGAGTCTCTTTACCACTTCTATAGTGCCTATATACTTTAATGCAAATTCTTATCACAATGTAGTGTAACTATTTAGTTTACTTGCTTTTTTTCAGCCATTAGTTAACAAAGGATTGTTTGTCACTAAATGCCTGATACCCGAAAAAAATATCTAGTATAAAAATAGGCATTAAATAAATGTCTAATGAGTGATTATAGCATGGTTTACATAAAGATAAGGTCAAATTTCATTTCATTTTCACCCAAATTTAGCATATTGCTAATATTAAGAAAACTAGGGAACAGGGATATAGATACAACATTGGCAAAAGTTAATCTTGCAATCAACATTATAAAAGATTTTTAAAACTCTATTGAAGAGTGTGTCCCAAGCACTCTTTTAGATACTTTTCACATATTGACTCACTTAATGCTCATGTGAATTTTTGAAATAGATAGCATTGTGTCTACTTTACAGATATGGAGCATGAGACACAGGAAGGTTGGATAATTTGCCTTAGAACAGTTGAGTAAGTAGTAGAACTTACTCCATCCTTCACAATCTGATTTCAGAACCAATCCACTCAACATTCTTGTATTTAATTGCTTATCAAAGAGGAATGTATAACTCCAGAAGACAAAAGTACAATCCTAGACTTTTAAATTTAATCATTATTATGGTTCAGGGGAAGAGGAGTAAGAGACAGAGATGTCAATAAAGAACAAAAAAGAATGCCTACTGTTCTTCGTACTTGAGGATAAACAGATAATTGAAATTTCTGCAGTTGCCCTGCATAAATCACTTTAGCAGTTTTCCTTCAAACATTTAACATTTACACATGACCATACACATTCTATCTCAAAATGTTTTTATTTATTTAATAAAAGATTCTTAATGAGATACTTTCTTTTTTAAAAAAAATTTTTTTTTTAAAGATTTATTTATTCATTCATACAGAAGGCCAGAGGTACAGGGGCTGTGAGCAGATTCACCGGAGTCACAGTAGGGAGAACAGACAGAGTAATGAAGTACACTGCTGAGGGGAGCAGCGGGCGGGTCAGGAGAGGTCTGCCACGCCATGTGGTCACCTCCGGGGCAGGCGGGAATTGAACTCACGCGGAAGCGGCTTTAGATTCTCAGTGCTGTGCTTTAACCCGCTGCGCCACCAGGGAGGGCCAAAAAAAAAATTTTTATTTATGCATACAGAACTGGGGTGCAGGCCAGAGGTACAGGGGCTGTGAGCAGATTCACCGGAGTCACAGTAGGGAGAACAGACAGAGTAATGAAGTACACTGCTGAGAAGAGCAGCAGGCAGGGCAGGGTAGGTCTGCCGCACCATGTGGGTCACCTCTG